AGGTCAAGAGATCAAGACCATACTGGTCAATATGGCGAAACCCCGTCTCTACTAAAAATACAAAAAAGTTAGCTGGGCATGGGGGTGCACGCCTGTAGTCCCAGCTACTCAGGAGGCTGAGGCAGGAGAATTCCTTGAACCCAGGAGGCAGAGGTTGCAGTCAGCCGAGATCCCGCCATTGCACTCCAGGCTGGGTAACAAGAGGGAAACTCTGTCTCAAAAATAAAGTAAAATAAAATAAATAAATAAATATGTCGTATTCATATAATGGAATACTTTGTAGCAATAAGAATAAACAAATTATTGCTACACACAACATTGAGGACTAAGGCAAGCAAGACGTTGAACAAAGGAGCTACATGTCCAAGAGTATTGTGTGATTTCATTTATATAAATTTTCAACTCAGGCCTTCAGTGTTTGAATTCAGAATCTGGTTGTCTTTGAGGAGGAGAATGGGAATACCTTGGAGATGGCTTTTGGGTACTGATGATGTTCCATTTCTTGGTCCAGGGAGAAGTAGGATACATGGGAATTTACATTACTATGAGTCACTGAGTTGCACAATTGTGATTTTTGCCCTTTTATTGTGTATTTTATAATTCGAATAAAATTATAATAAAACCAAGACCCCCCCTCAAAAAAATGTTAAGAATGATGGCCATAGGCCAGTCAAGAATTGATCATATCCCAGACCGGAAGGTATAAGAATTAATAAGTAGGTTAAAGTGATACTATATGGACATTAAGATACTCAGTGATCGATCACTGAGGCATCAGGAGGAATGAAATAATTCTTAGAATTTTGTGTAACTTACTCTCTCCCTCTCTTTTGTAAGCTTCTTAAAGGTGTGTCTGTATCTCGTTCCTATTATCCCCACAGCAAAGCACTACAATGGATGTGAAATAAATGTTCAACAAATGTTGAATTAATAAATAAACACCGCACTTGGTGATGAAGCTGGAGGCTCTCATTTGATAGCAGAGGATAAAGAGAAGAAGAAAAGCAGGTCAGTAAGCTGTCACACTCTCAACTGTTACTTCATAGAAAAGGAAATAAATTTAGAGTTGTTTGGAACAGTGGTATTGATGTTTTCTTAGGTCTCATGGACACAGCAACGAGTCCTGACATGGGGTGGGAAACCATCTATTTACAATCGGCCCTCATCATAAGACTTTTAAAGTTTTCTGCGGAAAGCCCAGATGAAGTAAAAATAGCACCGTATTATTCCAAGTCTGACTGATGGGAACAGTTGCATAAAGGTTTCTTGTTAAGCGCATCAAATGTTACCCTTTGTGTGACTTTGGTTTAGCTTGCTAGTGATTAAATTCCATTCACCAGCAGAGGAAGTGATTGGTATTTATATGTCTAAAGCTGATCTGAGTCTGGTTGTCCTAGGCAATGTGGATATTTCTAGAGAGAGAGAGAGAGAAAAGCCAGGGTTTATCCACTTCATTTATAAATGGTCACCGAGAACAAATAGATATTGTGTAACCACATGGAGTGCAGTCAGGTTTAGTAGATCTGCCTGCATCTGAGCTGTTTCACGTCAGCCTTTTTTTCTTCCTGGATTTATAAAGCTTTTCACAGTCATGTGCCAAAACATTTTTTTTTCTTTGTGGTAAGTGGATTTTTTTCTACAGTATATTAGATACTTAAACACTTTCTTAAAATGGGTGTATTTAGAAAAACTGTTTCTTTAAAAAAAAAAAAAAGATGTTTGTGACTATCAACAACTTCACAGCCTGGAACCATGGCTGGACCAAGGGATTTTGAGTGAGGCTGGCTAAGTTTTCACATCTCTGCACTTACTCTTGTAACAGACATGTAACACGAGTGAAGGTATTTGGATTATGGGCCTGGTTTTCCTTAGCTGTAAAATTGTTAGCATACTATATACCTAACAGTTTTATCAATATTTCAACATTGAAATAATGTATATTTAATGCCCAAAATGATTCCTGGCATACGGAGACACGAACATATATACTACTGACATTCTCTTTGTCTCTATTCTGAGGCTGAATTACGGTTCATCTTTATGAGCAGTTTTGTTTTATCTTATACCAAGAGCCCTAATTTATTCAACCATGAGATAATTATATTTCAATTTCAATTTTTGCTTCCATTTACTTTCTCACCATCAACCATCAGTATTATTACTGTGTGTCAGTGGATGTTGGTATTCCCATTTATTCCTTTATCCACTGTGAAATCAGATATCTGCATTCACAGAAAGGAAGAACAGAGTCTGAGTTCAGGCCTAAGGGGGCCTTCATGGGTGAGTCCTTGAGCTCTTAACACAGCCCTTGTACATCTTTCTTGACTGCTCAGGGTTCAACTTCTTATCCTTGAGGATTCTTGTTGGGTAAGTGAGGTCTTGCTGATAAGTGTTGGAAACTCCTCAAAAACTCATACTTATGTGCATGAAGGATAGAAGCCCATTGTAAAGGTGAATAGAAATAAAGCTCAAATATCCTCAAAATATGACTATAACGCATTTTGTGAGGACAGGCATTCTGCTATGCTCATTTGAAAAAGGCACCAATATTTGGCCGGGCATGGTGGCTCACACCTGTAATCCCAGCATTTTGGGAGGCCGAGGCAGGTGGATCATGTTTGTTGGTCAGGAGTTTGAGACCCGCCTAACCAACATGGTGAAACCCCGTCTCTATTAAAAATACAAAAATTAGCTGGGCGTGGTGGCACATGCCTATAATCCCAGCTACTCAGGAGACTGAGGCAGGAGAATCACTTCAACCCGGGAGGCGGAAGCTGCAGTGAGCCAAGATTGTGCCACTGCACTCCAGCCTGGGCAACAGAGCGAGACTCCGTCTCAAAAAAAAAAAAAAAGAAAAAGGCAGCAATGTTAAGAATAACTACGTATTCCTACTTTATTAAAAAGACAAGTAGCTGAAACCAGTTTTACCAATAAGGAAAAATTAATATACTTTGAAAGGATCAGAGCAGAGCAAGGGGAGAAAAATAGCAGATTTATAAGTTGGGCATGGTGACAAGTGCCTGTAATCCCAGCTACTCCAGAGGCTGCAAAGGGAGAATCGCTTGAGCCCAGGAGTTCAAGATCAGATTGGGAAACATAGTGAGACTCTGTCTCAAACACAACACACACACACACACACACACGACTGGGAAACATAGTGAGACTCTGTCTCAAACAACACGCACACACACACGACTGGGAAACATAGTGAGACTCTGTCTCAAACACAACACACACACACACACACACATTCACACACACACACCCCAAACCCAGTTCATTGGGTTTCACCCTGTATCTGAGGTAGTAGGTCTGGAAGGAACTGGCATGATAATCTGAAATGCAGATGATCCCATCAGTTAATGCCAGTGCTTCTGGTTGTGGGGCTCCGCTTTGAGAACTGGTTTGGATACTGGCTATTCAGAGGGGTTAAGCATGTTGCACAGACCGGTAGCACTGACGACAGCTACGAGCAGTGTCATGCATGCAGCCTCAGAGCCCTCTCAGACCTACTGAATCAGAACTTGTAGGCACAGTAAAACCTAAGACTTACTAGTTTTTGTTTGTTTGTTTTAAAGCAGATCTGAAAGCAAATAGGCAAATGGTCAGCCCACTGGTGGAAGAAAATCAGCTGCAATCAAGGGTTAACATTTGGGCAGATTCATACTGAAATGGAGTATAAATAATTCTGCGTGTCAGGGAATTAAAATGGCACAGGGTAAGGGGAGTTGTCACAATAATATCTCACAAATGGAGAAATACAGTTGTCTAGGATGCCTGACTGTGTACAGTTACTTTTCATCCTCTGGGTGTGAACAGAGCTCAAAGAGTATATCCATGACCTTCCTTTCTTCTGTAAATTAGTGACGCTAGTACCTCCCTGTCTGTGGATGCACTGAGAGAGAACAATGCATGCTGATCTATGGCCTCTTTCCTTCAGATTCTCAATCTTCAGTGCATGGATGAAGCCACCAATCTGGCAAAGCACCCAGGAAAAGCAATTACTTCATTTATGACACATTTAAATTTGTTGAATAAACAATTTTGTGTCTTCTATGAGGCCTATTACACTTGAGCCTGAGAAGTACTTATTAATAATTTTTCAGTTAGTATTTACTCTAAGCACTCTAAATCAGCATTTCTAAATAAAGCTGAGTCCAAAGGGCAGAGGGCTGGTAGGCAGATGATGAGGAAAGCTGACTCTCAACATTCCTTTAGAAAGTTGAGGTTTATAGAGGGTTGGTTTTGGCAACTCCACCGGAAACTTATGTTTGGATAGCCGTCTAATTCTAAACCAGTTCTGACTTTGCCCAGAATTTGGGTATGAGACAATAAATTAGCCTGATACTGTTGGAAAGAAAACTACTCAGGTTAAGAGTCAGAAAACAAACTTGCTTTTATTAGCTCTGTGACTTTGAATATAGCATTTAACATTGCTGAGGCTTAGAAGGTAGGGCAGTACGGGTGGGAGGTGAGGGGACATTTACTGAGAGCAAAGACAAAAGGCTCCTACAACAGCAGGTATGAGCCCTGCTTACTGTGTCTCCGTGCACTCAAAGACACATGCAAGAAACACAGGGACGTGCACTAAAATGCAGTTTGCTGCAAGCAGTTATCAAATCAACTTGATCATATCAGCCATGTTTCTAAACTTACCTGTCTTGATTGATTCTTCTTCAGGAACAACTTTAGGCTGGTAAGCAGATCCTACAGTATAGTAGTTAAGCTTATAATATTTGGTGTCTGACAGATATAGGCACAAATCGCAGGTCCACAACTATGTGAACATAGGTAAGTTGCAAAACATTGTTAAGCCATTGTTTCCACATCTATAAAATGGAAAAAAATAATGGCTTCTACCTCAATGCCGTATATGCTGAATGAGAGGGAAAAATGCACAAAATCTCTTAGCATAACAGAGTACAGAACCTAACACATTAGCCTCAATCAAGTCTAAATATTTTTACCACTGTGAATTGTGGATTATTTACTTACATTTTAATCAAAGTGGTTATTTCCATCTATTTCATGATCTTTGTCCTTCTAGGTATCTCCCATGTGACACTTTCACCTGGACTGCATTTCTGGCTATTTAACGATTCCTAGGTCCTATGCATGAAATATGACCAGTCCTTTATCCCACCCTCTCTTAAGTTCAATTCCCATTCACGTCCTAACCACATTCATCTTTTTTCCAGGTATATTAAGTCGAGTTCCTTAGAAGTAGGTACCAGGAAAAGGATCCATGTAATACAAATAAATCAAGAAGCATTTTCTTAAACATGGTAAGAGATAGGGAATGGGGGAAGAAAAGAAGGCCACACAAGAGTGTGATATCAAACAAAGTGTCAGGGAGGTAAATGTTGGCTCAGTCCCACAGTGATCTCTGGAGAAAGCATAGATGATACACAGGTTTGCAGGTAAACTAGCTCCCTGGAAATAATGGAATTATCCCAAACAGATGGCAAGAAAACTGGTTATATCCATCACTTATTTGATAGCTTCCCCAGAAATTTGAAGGTCTCCATGTATTAAGGCAAATTAGCTACTGATAGCCTGAGGGAAGGCTGCCTACTAAGAAGCACATGTGCCAGCTGTTGTGAATAAAGGTATACATGGAACAAACGTGAAAACAGTGTAAAAGGAATCATGGAACATAGGCAGAGCCTGACAGCATCTGCCATCACAATAATGCTAATATTAATGTAACCAGAGAAGGAGTCTTGATGCAGCCCCCAGGAGCATGTTCTTGCAGAAAGGAATTCAAGGTGAGTCGTAGAAAGAAGAGAGAGCTCATAGAAAGCTACTCTATTACAGAGTAAAGCATACTCAGAAAGCAGGAAGAGGAATGCTTCACAGTGAAAAGAGATAGTTTCTTGAAAGGTACTCCATTACTGGGTAGATTGTCCTCAGAAAGCAAGTGGAGGAACTCACTATCTTTGAAGTTTTTCTTATATAGGAGTCTTGTCTATGTAAAGAATAAACTAAGCTGTACCTACATGTGGGTGGGCTGATAGCATGACAGAATTTATTATTTTATTGATTTAAAGAAAACTATCTGTGACATGTTAGCATGTAAGTACATTAAATTGTAACTATAATTACCTTGAAAGCATATATTGTTATGGGAATTGAGACATTTGGGCTTCTGTTTTTGTAGGAGTTTATCCTTACAGACGTTACCAAGCTGATTCCTTAGGTAAAAACATCTTAGGACTACGGGCCATGATTAGCAAAGACTGTGCATTGCCAGTTTTAAGATGATTTGATTTTAAAATGGTGTCACTCTGGCCTTCCTAGGCTCCTGCTTTCCTAACATTAATATCCCAGCAAAAAGTTTCCATGAACATAGTAGTATGCCCTTTATACTTTCACCTTCATTTCATTTAGCTGGGTAAGGATTATTAGTCCCATTGATGGATGGTTTAGGTTAATATCATTTGACATATACTCATATGTACACATACATAGACATAAATACCTTCAAATTTCAATTTAATAATTTATTACATGATATTTGGCTTTACAATTAAAGTAGGTCATTTAGTTAATGAATTAATAGTAGTTATACAAATTTGTGCTATAGTGATTTACATAAAAAGGGGAACAGTCTTTGACAGAATGTATTTTTATTTTAAGTATTTAAATCCCTTTTGAGTTAAGGCAGTTTCAGTCATCAAAAGTTTGCATGTATAAATTGCATGAAAAAATCCCAGAAGAGTGCAAAGAGAGCACTTGTCTCTCATCTGGGCTACAAGAGACACATTTTTCTGAGATTGACTCATGATAGTTGTTATAATGGTGCACATTAAAACTTTTTCTCAATAATATCAGAGCCAATATTAATTTTCAATTACACATGTAAAGAGCTGAATAAAGAATACCTGGATTTCTGCCATGTATTCCTTACTCCAGTTCCTGCTGATCAGTTGAACCTCTCATAATAAGTTATGGATCAAAGTTGGACCTCAGAATTCCCCACTTATCAGTTCCTAGAATGAGAAAAGAGTTAAGAAACATCTAAATTCCTGATGTCTATTGATTCTGACATTCACATAAAGCAAACTGCAGTAATTAGGGTCATACAAAGTTCCTATAGCCATCAGTCCATCACCTTTCCTCATGGGAAAAAAGAACCAGGCAGTGGATCTTCTCCTTGACTCCTGGAACCTCAGGCTGCCTTTCTTTTTATATGAGTTAAGATGTGTTGGTTGCCTGGATACAGCTGAGCTTGTGAAAAAATGTCACTGAGCTGCTGTCATGATGGCCATTTTATTACCATGATTTATAAATGGATTATCTGTGAAAATGGCTCTGGTTTTAATCATGCCCCCTGCAGGAAATGGCCTGTTCTTATTGGTTTGTTTCGATGACAGGTCCAGATATCCTGATATTTTATAACAGTTGGCAGATGCTTTACTGCAAATGATATCCATCCTCCAGAAAGAATTAGTTAACTTCTAATAGCATTAACCTCAGGAAGTGTATCCTGCCCACCCCCTCAATCTTATTTCAGATTCCTTCATCTGGGGCATCAAGCTCCCTTTAGCTTTCAATCCTGCTTTCTTGTAACTCTGTTCTAAGGAGGAAGCAATCAACAACAACAAATTGCTTCCACAATGTTCCACATATGGGAATCAGTCTTTGATGTTTTACAACAAATGGATTTCAAATAGTGAATGGGAGAAGATGCACAGTTTCCTCTGTTTTGTGGTTCCACAGGAGGAAGCCAATGCTTCCCTGGAGTGCCTGGAACCAAGCCTATCATCATCATCATCAATTTGAGTCATTATCCCAATCTGATAGCTCTACCTGTGTTGTTCCTCACTTTCAAAACAAAGCAGATAGTATTCAAAACAGGAATGATCCTTGTCACTCCCAGTCACACAAGGTTAATTTAAGTGACATAGTTAAGTTGGTAGGAATGAGATTCCACCCCGGTGTCTAGGATACAAATCTTCACTGCATTGCTTCCTCAAGTTTGGTCCACAGAACACTAGTCCTCTACAGTTTCCAAACCTCCATTCCCTACCTGCAAAAAGATTCAAAAATAAAGAAGCAAAAATAAATATCTGGGGAATAATCTTGAAGACTCATTGTACATGCTAATATTCTGAAATCTTTGAGGGTTTCTACTTTCTGTTGATAGTTTTGTTTAACTGATCTTTTCTTAAAACTTAGACAAACATGAAACAAGGTTTTGCTAAAAGTTTCACTAGAGTATGTTTCAGTGCCTATACTTATAGATTTTTTCTTTGTTATTTTTTTAAATCTACTTACATTTTAGGAGTTTGATATAATTTTATAATATTTGTAAAATCCATACACTCTGGCATTTCTTCCTTTGAAACACTCCTCTTTTTCCCTCTTCGCCATTTCCTTGCCTTGCTGATCTTCCTTCTTATGTCTTGGTCCATCATTATCTTTTTTTTTTTCATCACCACAATGACCTTTATTTCACATGAGTGCCATGTGAGTACCATGGTTTTCCTCACTACATCACAACTACAAAGATAAAAAGATTAAGGATTTTGTCTAAAATTACAGAGCTAGAAAATGGCTGAGCAGAGAGTCAACCCCCAAAGTTACTTTTGAATTTTGAACATGGAATCACAAGAAAGTGTGCCTAGACATAGTCTAATCCGATTGCATTTTTTTTTTTTTTGCTCTTGGAAATTTGAGTTTTTGAAGATTTAAGAGGTGATACTCAAGCTTCAGAGTGAAAAGGCAGTGAAGCAAGTATTAGAATTCAAACCTTCCATCCTCAGGCTAAATCTGTTTCCAGAAGGATCTGAGTGTCACTTCTGGCAACACATCAAAAAGATTTTCTACCACTCCTTCTCATTTTAGGAGTTCAAATATGTGAATCAGGTCATCTAGCATGCAATATGCTCAACACCCTAACGCATTTTGTAACTAAATGGAAACTCCACTTTTAATTAACTAACATTGATTAGCATATCAGTTACTCTAACTCATTACAAACAAATTGGACCAAAAATCTGACCATATGAGCATGAAATAAACACTATTAAATTTCTATTTAGATAGAGATTCGACTAAACTGTTGCTTCTGGTATCAAAAAGCAAAATTATCCTTTACTAAGATTTAGCTTGGAATCAATATTAAAAGCCGTCTCTAGTTTTCATTTTATGTATTCCTCTCAGTGGAATTTCCTGATCACCTGAATGGTAATTAAATCACACAAAATGCAACTTACATTCAGCTATAAGATTTTGTCAGACATTAAAAAAAAATTAATAGATCTTAACATCTGAACATTTGCAAGATTTAAGATTTCCTTTAGGAATAGAAAAGAGACTATAGTTGTGTTCTTTTAGTAGGAAGCATATAAATAGGATATACACAGATCTGACCTAAATTGAGGCATGGTTATTTTCATGTATTAATATTCCAATTTTTAGAGCCGATTAAATGTGCTTTGTATAAACAGTAATTCCCTCTAGCATTGCAAGATGATTTATGTATTATTAGTTGTGTCTGCTACTACAGGACAGTAAAAAAGAGAAAAATGCCAATCTGCTCAAGTAACTCAGATGATGACCAGGTAAAAAACAACCAAAAAAGAGGTAATATAAGCTTGAAACCATAGCATTATGACAATCAATATCGGCCATATCTGGCTTACTAAAACATATATAAGAATACAGTAAAGAAAATGGAATACATCTGATTTGAAGTCAAGATATTTACATTAAAATCTTATTTCTCCACTAACTTTCATCCTTTGGTGAGAATGTTAATCTCTGTGAGCCCTAAATATTTTCGTCTGGAATTTACAGAGAAACTGCATTTCCCCCCCCTTACTGTCATTTACTGTGAGTCAAAGGTAATTGATGTAAGTTTGTAATACATGTCTCACACAGTAGGAATTCAACACAAGGGTATTACATTACCTTGTGATTGACATTTGCATGAAAATGATGCTATATAGCCAGGTTTGGTTCCAAGTGGGTTATGAATTGAGTACAGTTCTACTTATAGGTACAGGGACTTTGTTTATGTTGGCTTCTTAAAGTTGAGATAGACAATTGATACATAAGAAAGTGTAAGCATATTTAATTTATTCACAGGCTGTAATCTCATTGGTGCTAATCAAATTGGAAACACTGCATTACTTTTTAAGCTATTACAATTACAGCTGAATAAATCTCTGATTTATTCAACAATGCCTATTGGAGACAACTGTCATAGAATAAACTGAGCTGAAAATGAATGGCAGTCAGCAGGTTATCATCTCTCAAAGAGACCCAAAGCAGAGCAGTGTATGAAAATATCATGAGATAGTTTGGTTGTGTGATCTTTGCCAATACACTGATGTTCTGAGATTTCCAGCTTCTTTACATGTCAAGTGGCACTAATAATAATATATGGAGATCTATGTCTGAACCTATGACATAGATATGTGTGTATTAATTTGTATACATATTGGGTTTTTTTATTAGTGTGGTTTGTATATACACACATATATGTACATACATAATCACTTTTCAGAAAATATTTATTACTATTGGAGAGTTATTAGGCACTAAGGTGAGCATGATGTCTATTTGTGTTATCAAAATAATAACATTGGAGTAGAATATCAGGCTCATATTCCCCACATTTTGTTTGTCAAGATAGCATCAACTATACACCAAAGAAGTCAACTTTAAAATTAATTTTTTAAAAAGGAGAAAAAGGGAATGATTTAGAGATTTGTACTAGAACAACCATCATGAAATCTGTTTGGTTCAACACAGTATTGGACAGTTTTATTTAAATATGGTCTGGCACTTGGCTCAGAAGTTGACTGCCATCTTGAGTCTCTGACCTGAATTGCGAGACTGCATGAAGATTCTCTCTCTCTCTCTCTCTCTCTCTCTCTCTCATTCAATTCTTACAAAGAATATTATGAACTTCTACTTTAAAGCAATAGTCTGCTTTCTCACTGAGTTTTCAAATATAAGGCATAATTTCAATGCTTTTAGAAAGAACTTCCGTCTTGCCAAAAATCATTGTTCTGGTACATTGGCATAATCCTCACGTTTTGATTTTCTTTTTTCCTATCTACATATAAATTATTTTACAGTTTTAAAAATTAAAATTAAGATGTTTCAGTATTTTGTTTTCCATTTTTCTGTATCATTTTCTTTCTTAAATTCATAGAATGTAAACTCTAGAGAAAAGGAGGAGGGTGACATTTAGAGAGAACCAATGCTGTACCAGGCATAGAACAGAACACATTACAGTGGTGGTTTTGTTGAATCAGCACAGCCATCCTGTGAGATGGGTATAATTTCCAGATCTCACAAGTGAGGAAACCGAGGTACAGAGTGACTCTCCAGGAAGAGCTGAGCCTTGAACATGAGTTTTGGTGATTACAAACTACAGTTTTTCCACGCACTTGTTCCTTTGAATGTCAGGGATCAAACTCCTAGTCTATATAACTTGTCAGTCAAACAGAATGCTAAGCTTAGTTTTATCATACAGAGCCTCCAATAAGTGACAGTTAGTGGTGAAAAAACAGGAGTAGATCATGCAATGAAATGGTCGTTAAAGATTGGCTTTGTTTTATTGATTAAGTTAATGGGAAACTAGTGCAAAATATTTAATACATTAGCTCTTCTCTGAATGAGAAGCTCATGTGGAGACTTGGCAGTAATACAGAGGAGATTTTTGCATACTGGTCAGATGTGGTAGTGGTGCCCCTTCCAGCCTTCTCTTTCATTCCCTTCATCAATAGCGCCAAGCCTATCCTGATATCATCATCAACATAAGTTAATGATGCTGATTCCTTCATCATGAATAGGATCACTTTACTGAAGATCACGGAAATGCCCCTTTGACCTGGGGAATCCAGTCATCCTATCCAATCTTAGAGTGGCTTCTTGGGAAGTTGTCTCTCATATCTTAATGGTCTGCAAGTCTTTGTCATTGGAAAATTGAATTTCCTGTTATAGTGGCAGAATTTGCTTATTGTTAAAACAATTACCACATTAGATGTCTCTGCTTGCAATTTATTTGGAAAGATAAGACGATATTTTAGAAAGTACTACAAATCCCACACAAATGATACATGAGACACAAATAAACATACATGCACACGTGCAGAAAAAAAAAATGCTTGCTTCTTTACTGATGTCATTTGAAAAATCCTAGGTTCAATCATGTTGAAAATATTTT